TGACACCATGTTTGAAAAGGTACACACATTTGTCCAGAAATGCATAATTCCAGAGCTACCAGAAAAAGTGTTCACAGCTCCTATTCTAGCAACATCACACCACCAAAGACAAAGCTGTTACTGTGGGGTGCCTGTCCTGCATAATGACGACATACCTGAGTGCAAGTCAGGGATCTGTAAAAGACAGTACATTCACAAAAGTGGTTTAAAACTTGACACCACACATTTAAAAATGTCAAGTTGGAAATGCAGTGACTGTAAGCGAGAGATAGCCAAACAAAAGCGGGATAACAGAAAAAAAAAACCTGAACACAGTTTAAGTTTGAAGCATTTTATTTAACAGAATAATATATTTTATATTATAATTTGTTTAATTCACAGACTTGACATCAAATAAGTTATGATTAAAAATATGAATTAATCATTGATGGAAATAACAATCCATTGTGCACCAACACTTTTTAAATGTTTAGCCCATTTAAAAAGTGTTCAAGCGACAGCTGAAAACTCATTTCGACTCTACTTTACTTCATCCTAAATTTTAAAAAAAATTAAACTTTGTCTTTCTCTTTATTTATTCCTTCACTTTCTAGCTTGTACGTATTTGAACAATACCTAAAACTTGGTATTACAAGCACTTCCTGTGTCTGTTTGCCTCTTTAAGAAGAATCACTTTATGTATTCCCCAATTGTTTTGCTTTGGATAAAAGCGTCTGCAAAATGACTAAATGTAAATGTGTAAATGTAGCCCAAAGGAACAGCTGATGGAGCCAAATTTGTCAGTGCACAGCACACATGGACTATTTTATCTAGAGTTGTTAGACCTTTGGGATGCTCAGCTTCACACATCTGAATTCCTACTGCACTTTTGAAGTATGGTGTACCGATTCCTTGCCTCACCGATAACTCTCTCAACACGAATCCGAACTGATGCAAGTCTTCGTTTGGACTCCCAATTCCACTGGACCCAGTTGCTTTTTCCCCTCTAGTAAAAGCTGGGATCTTGAGCTCAGCATTGTACAGACCAACTGAGCCTGCCACATCAAACCCTCTATCACCCAATAACACATCTCCTGGGTTGAGGTGATCTAAAAATCCAAGTATTTGTCTGATGTTCTGCCATCGTTTTATATAAAAGAAACTGTTCCTTGTGGTGTTACGCCAATTAGGTATATCCTGGTATGGTGATGTTTGTATTTTGAGTAGGTCAGTGCTCTTGCTCTTCAGTCTCAGAAACAGTCAATAATGCAGGCACATTTGCGAAAGACCAGTCTAAATTATCATAGGCACTGAGAGCTGAAGCTCTTCTCGAGTTGGCCAAAACACAAGTGCTGGAACAAGTCTCGCATTTAACACTTAAATCGTGTTGTGGTGTTACGCCAATTAGGTATATCCTGGTATGGTGATGTTTGTATTTTGAGTAGGTCAGTGCTCTTGCTCTTCGGTCTCAGAAACAGTCAATAATGCAGGCACATTTGCGAAAGACCAGTCTAAATATCATAGGCACTGAGAGCTGAAGCTCTTCTCGAGTTGGCCAAAACACAAGTGCTGGAACAAGTCTCGCATTTAACACTTAAATCGTGTTCCGAAATGTTCTGCTGGCGGTTGGAATTGAGATCTTAAATATACAACTGAGCAATGAAAGGAGAAGGTTCGTTTTCAGCCTCATAAGATTTAACAGCAGTTGCTGGAAGGGAGAGTTTGTACCAGTCTGCAAAAATGTTATCGCAAATGTCAAAACTACTTGCAACTTGGAATATGTGATTCCAAGGGATTCCAGTCATTGGTTTTACTTTTACATCGTCTTTTTCAAAAGCCAGTTCATCAAGTGTTCCTGATTTAATAATGTCTTTCAGCTTTTGGTTTTCCTCCCTAAGGACATTACATTCCCTCTGCAATCTTTCAATCTTTTCCCTGCATTGTCTGTTGTTCATCCTCAGCAGGTGGTGCCAGCTCAGCATCAGGCAATTCTAGGAGGTCATCCACTGCATCTTGCCTCTTCTCAACCCTCTTGTTCTTCATTCTGTCAAACCTGTCCTTTCTGTCTTTCTCCCTCTTCCTCTTCTTTGTGGCTGGTGTGTGAGAGGACCAATGGAACCCTGTAAGGAGACAACGGGTCATCAGATTTGGCACCTATCGTGAGAGAAGAGAGTTTATGTGCAACAAGTTGGAAAAAAAAAGTCAGTTAAATGAGTACCATTCCTACAGACTGGCTAAACAATCTCTCCCATAAACAGCTGCTGATAAATATTCACACTGAAAGTAAACCTTTCCTTTAATTATATCTTATTACAACCTCTATTCCCAAAAATTGGGATGCTATGTAAACGTATAAAAAGAGAAAGCATCGCGAGTTTATATTATTGAAAAACAATAGTTTATCAGTCTGAGCACAAGCATAATATATGTGACCCTGCAGCACAAAAGCAGTCTTAAGTCGCTGGGGTATATTTGTAGCAATAGCCAAAAATACAGTGTATGGGTCAAAATGATCGATTTTTCTTTTATGCCAAAAATCATTAGGATATTAAGTAAAGATCATGTTCCATGAAGATATTTTGTAAAAAAAAATTTGTGCACCCTCAGATTCCAGATTTTCAAATAGTTGTATCTCGGCCAAATATTGTTCGATCCTAACAAGCTTATTTATTCAGCTTTCAGATGATGTATAAATCTCAATTTCGAAAAATTGACCCTTTTGACTGGTTTTGTGGCCCAGGGTCACATATGTGATCGAATAAAGGTGCAAAAGGATTTGCAAATCATTGCATTTTCAGTTTATGTCTAATAGCATCCCAACTTTAATTTTAGCTGAAATTTGTGCAACTAATCAAGGCCACTGTAGTTATTGCATCAGTCCACGACAACAAACCATGTAAGAAGATTACATAAAGATGTGCTTTATGGCTAAAAATACAATGATTAATATATCCAGTGTTTACGTGAGCTTACCTTTGATGAAGTGTTCACTGCAAATACGAGTGTACTTTCCCCAGGGAAAGAGGCAAGTTTAATGGCACAAATTCCTCCTTTGTGCATTTTCTTTCTCGGAGGGGATTCTGTAGAAGCATAGCCCAGGCTTGTCTCCTAGTCAGTTAGTGCATCCTATTGCACAACAACCATCAATGGGCCACTGACAGATGACGGTTGCTGCCCCCCCACTCCCCTCCCTTCTCCTAGCAGCCATCCACACCCATTTAAGTTTTTATTTTTATTTTTATAAAGTGGCACCATTGCACTTCAAGCGTCCCGAGTTCGAGTCCTGGCTTGCGGACCTTACCCGAACCACCCCACCCCACTTTTGCCTCCTGTCTGAAATACTGTCCTATCCAAATAAAAAGGCAAAAACACCAAAAATAGATCTTAAATATATATATATTCTGAGGAAGACTTAAAATAAAAGAGGGGGTTATCATGACCCTTTAATGCAGACTTCAACTTTCTAAACATCAGTATAAGCCCTAATAAAGGCTGACAAACACTGTACTGAAACTCTAAACAGCATAATTTAATGAATAATGGACTCAGTTATAGCGTGTCTCAAAAAACTTAGCAAGCGCCCTATCTAGACAGCAATTGGCATCACAGGCACATTCTGAGTCAACAGCACCCTTTAATGCAGACTTCAACTTTCTAAACATCAGTATAAGCCCTAATAAAGGCTGACAAACACTGTACTGAAACTCTAAACAGCATAATTTAATGAATAATGGACTCAGTTATAGCGTGTGTCTCAAAACTTAGCAAGCGCCCTATCTAGACAGCAATTTTGGCATCACAGGCACATTCTGAGTCAACAGCAATTTAATTTTTAAAATATATTTTTTAAAAAGTGCACTAGGTTTTAAGACTACAATGTCCCAAAATGCTGTGAACTCTAGACCTCACTAGACAGCATTAAAATGTAGTAAGCGACATGAGTTGCCTTGATATGCTTCGAAATAAAGGTTCTTCATTGGCATCTATGGTTCCATGAAGAACCTTTAACATCCATGGAACCTTTCCATTCACAAAATGTTCTTTATAGTGAATTTATTGTATTTTTTAAATATGTTTTTAAAATGTTCTTCAGACTAAGAGAAAGATTCTTTTAAGAACTGTTCACTGAAGACTTCTATGGGGAACCAAAAGTGGTTGTTCTTCAGCATCACTGAGAAAACCCCCTTTTGGAAGCTTTTATTTTCAATTGTGTAGCAGGCATTTTTGGTCATCATAGTCTAGTCCAGGGGTCTCCAAACTTGGTCCTGGAGGGCGGTGTCCTGCAGAGTTTAGCTCCAACCCCAGTTAGTCACACCTGAACCAGCTAATCAAGCTCTTACTAGGCATACTAGAAACTTCCCAGCAGGTGTGTTGAGGCAAGTTGGAGCTAAACTCTGCAGGACACCGGCCCTCCAGGACCGAGTTTGGGCACCCCTGGTCTAGTCTATTCTAGTCTAAGCCTAGTGAGCGGCCTACGATGATCAAAAATGCTGTCTACGTTGGACAATTCATACTAGCCCTATACTGTGTTGCTCAATAAGGTTGCAGTTCAATAGTCAAAAGATTCACTTGATTCTCACACAGTGAAGCCCGAAAATGTATGAATGTAGATTACCTGAATATAATACTATGATGCTTAAATATGCAGCTCTCTAGGTTTTAAATCCCAAGATGGCCAAAAACGCTGCCTCAGTAGACAGCACACTTAGTTTTGATTGTTATGGGTGAAGTCAGTCCAGTCATTTAAAACCCGACGCCGGTCAAAACAAACAGCTCTAAAAGATCGACAACACAACACTTGATCAAAACAACTGCAATGTGTTTTATATACTATAACCCTCTCTGAAAAATGCAACACACGCGTTTGTTTACACTCGACGACGCTATTTCTGGAGTAACAGTTCAACTAATGAGTCTGACTAACGGCTTTAGCTTAGCCTAGCATGCTACCGTAAACCCTCGGATCAAACAGCGTCACTGAAACACGGAGAACACATTCACCCGCGTGAAACAGCACCTACCTCGGCCTCTCCCTCCTCCAGACTCCGCAGGCTCCATACCACCAGTCCCTGGATCAACAAGATCGTTAAACCGGTCGCGATTGCGAGTTTGTACCGTCTAAGGAGCTTCTGCACACGGGTGCTCGCGACCATCTTTACCCCGTGGATCTTATATCGCATATGGCAGCGAGTCGCGTCAGCAGCGAGTGACTCACTCGGAGGGAGTCGACTCTGCGAATCAGACTGTGAACCGATCAGCGCCCTTTCAGAAAGCGTTGTGGTTCAGAGTCTTTTAACCAAGTGATTCTGATTCAAGTGAATCAAACTGAGAGTCATTCTTTTTTTTTCTTTTTTTTATTGAACAGAATGTCTTTTTGACACATTCAATACAATTACAACAACAACTAATACAACAGTTTTCATATGCTATAGTAAACAATATTATAGGAATACATTAAAGAGTGCACAAGCTTGCAAATGCTATAAAACATGCATTTTTTCCCCTGAAAATGTATATTTATGAATATGAAATTTAGCCATTAAACTTAAAAAATTCATTTAAAAGTCTGTTTAACTTTAAAGTTTACAATAATGCTTGAAAGAACATCTTTCCACTGTAAAGTAACATTTTCGTCAACATTATCAACAAGAAAGTCAAGTAGCTACATTTTGAAAAAAAAAAATCATTTAAAAAAAAAAAGAAAAAAGAAAGAAAGACACATAAGGGCAGTGCCAGAATGAATGAACTGTCTCTGGCTTCTGCTTGCAAAAGCTACAGCTAGCTTACATCTATATATCTTTTTTAAAATGTAATTAAATAAAGTTTAGCAGGGCATATTCTATGAAGGAGTTTAAAAGATACTTCTTTAACCTTGTTTGTTAAGAGATAGCGATTGGGCAGAAGCAGACTTTTCCCAATCAACATCACTCACAAATTGATTCCAATATTTGGTTTCCAAGCAACATCCTTCTGGAAAAGGACTCTTGTTGATCTGTTATAATTATTACAATGATAGGAAATACATATTATAGTACCTATAGGGGAGTGACTGGGTGAAAGTTGTGCACTGTAAAAAATTGCTGTAAAAATACAGCCATATTCTGACAGTAACATCCTGTTTTTTCATTACAACAGTACAATCCAGTAAAAAAAAAAAAAAACAATGTATTCTGGGTAATATTTGTTGTTTTCGAGAAAGTAGCCTTCTGCAGTACTGTGAAGTAACAGCGTTCAGAGTCGACACTCAGAGGCTGTGTTTCAAATCACA